AGGCAGAGAACATTCCAGACACCAATGTCAGCAAGTACAAAGGCCCTGAGGCAAAAAACTTAAAATGTTTAAGAACAGCAGAGAGGCCAGTGTTACTGGACACAAGAGGAGTTCCACTTCCAACAAATGTGTATTAGTTCTACAGTAAAACACCAAAGTCAAACACTTAAAGAATGAGAGCATTAATTTGAATATGTGGGAAAGCACACCTATGAAAATGTTAGCCTGAAGGTTTACTGCTATCTTGATCACAATCCAATGAAAAATCTTGGGAAGAGACAGAGGGTAAAACCCAAAAGTAATCCTAAAGCTTCCAGAATAACCAGTACACTGGGAAGGGGGAGGCAGTGGCTTAAAATCAACGAAACAAGAGAAAGCAAAGGTGCCACTCCAGATCAGTAGAAACAGGCCCTCACTGAGAAGCACTCTTGAGTTCCCCTGTATGTACAGAGAGCCAAAATAAAAACAATAAATAACCTAAAGAACCTAGGGATTGTTGAGCAACTCAACAAGGTGGGACACACCCCAAGGGCAGTCAATAGGTTATGAACTTGAGGCATATGTACATTTTTCTTTTAAGAACTATCCATGGTTTGAAAAAAACATACCACCCCCCTCCCAATCAAAACCCATAGGGTCCTAGAGACTTAAATAGGGACTTCTCTTAACAGATTTTCAAATAATATTTGGTATTTTGGTATCAAAGCAAACTGTATTGGTCAAAGAGGAAGTAGCCTATGTATTTATTTTTCTGTATAGCTCAATTACATATTCCAAGTTAAACAATTATATGTTATCTAGGAATCAAATAGGGAACGAAAGACACTACTAATAATAGTTTATTATGAAATAGCAGGCTCATGGTTTTAAAAAGTCAAGGTTCACAGAGTCCAGGAAAAAGGAAAAAACCTGAGCAATCTATTTCTCCCTTCTACTCCAGACCCTTCAGTCACTCCCAAGAACTAACCAGGGCTAACAATTTTATGAAATGCTTATTACCATATGACCCATCTAACATTCCCTTAAAACTTTACCTGGAAATAATGTGGCTTATCATCCATTTACACGGGATGAGAAAGGTGTCTCCATAACCCGTCTTCAACCAAAAGAGTTCATGTTTTACATACTGAATGTTCCAGTAAGCTCTTGTCTAAAGATAAAAGGTTCCTCTGAGTTTGAAAAGATGTCCTAGATATATTCAATGTGATTCCTAATAGAAGGGAGAATGCTGAAAGACCCATTTTCTTTAACTAGAATTTACTCAACAGGAAAAACCCCTTTCCCTTCCCCTGTTCCAGTTTACTGCCCCAGTCCTTAACAGAAGTACCTCACCTCCATTCTGCTTTTTCCTACTAGACTACTCAATGCTCTTGGAACAGACATTCAGAGAACAGAAACTTTTTAAAAAGTAATTTCAATGTCAATTCCCAAAACTACAACTTAAGTTGGAAGATTCAACAGCCAGGACCCCCAAAAGTTACTTGTGTAAGGATGCTTTCTTGAGATTTAAAACCTAACTAACCAGAAATATTCACTCATTACCTGAAAACTCATGTTAGTGAGAGACTAGACACAGAGTGTATGTGTAAGAGCTAGTGTCCCCCCCCCCAAGGGGGGGGGTAAGAAAGATCCTCAAAGTAACATTGTTTTAAACACTGTTTCACTCATTCTTGATGTATCTACCCTCATACCCATACAAGGAATATAGAGTTAAAATGTTAATATAGCCCTGGCCGGTGTGGCTCAGTTGGTTGAGTATCATCCCATGCACTGAGAGGTCCCTCCTGGTTCCATTCCCAGTCAGGAAACATGCCCGGGTTGCAGGCTCAATCCCCAGTAGGGGGAGTGCAGGAGTCACCCAATCAATGCTTCTCATCATTGATGTTTCTTTCTTTCTCTCTTTCTCTCTCTCTCTCTCTCTCTCTCTCCCCCTCCCTCCCTTTCCCTTCCTCTCAAAAATAAAAACTATTTTTTTTCAAAAGCAGTTATTATATCTAATTAATTACAGCTCTCAATAACTGGGATAAAACTACCTGGCATGCATTCCTCAAATGAGTTCTGACACCTCAAAAATCTCTCTCTGCACCTCAGAGCACCACCATTTCCCATAGAGAAAACAAGTTTGTTTTGTCCAGAGACCCACAAAACCCCTCCAGAATCAGATACATCTGCTTCCCAATTATCAACAGACACCCAGTGTAAACCTTTACATAAGGAGGAATCCCCAATGAAGGATTCTATCAATTCTGGTTCCTCTGTTGTAAAGAATATGTGTGACTCTAATAATGCTACTAAAACATCTGGTCTGGGACTACTGGTAAGCCTCCAATCTAAGCATCACATTGTCAGATGAGACAGTTAAGGGAAGTGGATGGTGGGTGTAGTCATACCAGCTTGCTATATAAACAATACCAAACTCTGAGACAGTTAATATCAATGAACTGTTTACTCTCAAATTATTCCAGGCTACAAATGTTTCAAGTTTTCAAAGTACTAAACTGCTTTATTCTGCATACTAATGCCATGGGAAACAGCAATCAGGAATCACTTTACCAGAGTTTCTTTAGAGAAGGGGTACAAATCCTTCCCTAGTGAAGCCTAGAACTAGACCAAACAAGCAGGTCTGAACATATTCTTACCCCTGGGGACTAAGCTACCTATCTCCCTTCACTCAGATTTCTACAGTTTAGAAGCATTTTTAAGAATTGACAATGGACAGTTAAGAGCCATTCACCTCAGAAAAAAGACAACTTTGTTTCCTTGGAAAAATGCATTTATTCTTACTGTAACTCAGTCCAATGACAACACCCCTTGTTGTCCACTTTAGAGCCAGCATCAGACTTCTTGATAAAAGAAATGCTATCAGGTCCCTGAAAAGGGATTTTCAAGTGGACAGGAAATTAAATGGCTCTTTGGATTTTTTTTCTGGACAAGAAAAACAAAACAAAAACTCTTTACTGGTTCTTTTTAACTACTCTAAGAAATTAGAATTTAGTCACTGTGAGAAGTACAGTCTCCATCAAGAAGCTTATATACAGGTTATGATAATCAGCTCTACTGAATTAACTACATAGACCCAAACTACTCCATTAAAGTGGCGCTAAGAAAAAGACACAGGGAACACTGCGACTTGTTAAACCCCAAGCTCACAATTCAAAACAGTCTACATAATGATGCTTTAAAGTTGTAATCTGTATACAGTTAGACAAAGCCACCCTAAATATATTTCCCTAATTTTCCACTCCCAGTCTCTCCTATTTCTTGGCACACCACAGCGCTCATTCAATTTTCCCTCCTGAACACCTTCTTTGGTATTAAAAGCTTGCTTCTCTCAGAGAACTTAGCAACATACAAAAGGTGTACAGAAAAAAGAATTTTTCAACTTTCCTACACACCAACCACATCTGCAAGAATGCTACTGGTTTGAGTACCACTGAGTGTGACCCATTAAAGGTCAAAAAAGGAGAGAAAAATTACCTTACGGAGGATGAATGTCCGAACAAGGAAGAATAAAATTCCAGACATGATACCAGAAAGCAGCGGAGAAACAAACCAAGACATCACTAGAATAGAACACATTAAGAACAAATGTCAACTAATGAAAATCAGGAACCAAAACACACTTTAAATTTTAGTATTGTTTTCAGAACTTTAGTCTGACCCTCCCTTTTACACAATATACTCCCATACATAATGCCACAGAACATGACGAGAATAAAACTTAAAGAAGTCATTCTAAATTAAACATACCAACTTTTACCAGTTCAGACCACTTGACACCTTCCTGCCCTTGTGCCACAAGGGAGAAACCAATGGTCGCACCAACAATACAATGGGTTCCAGAAATGGGAAGCTTCAAAAACGAAGCCACTAGTTGCCACACAGCGGAACCTGAAACACAGTCAAGTTTTATTTAGTAAATGGCAAAATCCCATCATGTACGCAGTACATTCTGAAGGAAGTCACGTGAAAGGTAAAGGAAAGGCATTTGCTCACCCAACACGCAGGGGACAATATATCACAGAACTTACCAAACATGGCACTGACCGAGCCGGCCATCAGCAGATGCTGGGTCGAGTTGTACATCTCCACGTCGATCAGGCCCTTCCTGATGGTCTCACTCACTTTGGCCCCCAGCAGGACGGAGCCCACCGTCTCAAAGATGCTAGCTAGGATGCAGGCCTGCTTCAGGGTCACCACTCCGGAGCCCACAGCCGTGCCGAACGAATTCGCTACGTCATTGGCGCCCACGGAGAAGGCCAGCACGAAGGCGATGACGAAGCCCAGGATCAGCATCCACAGGTACTCCACTAGCGGGCCGGTGGCCGTGGCCACGGTGCTGGCCATCAGCGTGGCCATGGTGCTGGCCATCAGCGTGGCCGCGGTGGACGCCATCCCCAGAGCAGCGGCCTTAACAAGAACTACTGCGCGGCTTTCAGGCGTGTAAACAGAATGAGTATGAGGTATCACAGACGCTCTAATAAATAATATATATTATATAAAATTAAATACTGTAAACTGCGGCAGACACCGGGCCGGTCACTGCTATACGCTGCGCGCGGGCATCTGCAGTCCGGGACGCCTCGGGCTCCGGGGGGCTAGCGGCGCGGCGCGGAAGGCCATGGCGGGGACGCGCGGGGACACAGGTTCATCCTGGGGGGACACGGAACCACGATGGCGCGCGCCCAACGCCCGCTGCCCAC